GGTGCTGATTCTTAATTTTCTATAATTTATTGACAAAAGAGTTTCAATGTAACAAGGAATAATAAAGAGGACCTGTCATCGGATTTATTGTTACGTTACATTCAGTATGCCAAGTCACCCTTCCAGATATTATCACCTCTCACAGAGATCACATGACTCCCCCTGACAATGCCTTCATCTGCTTTCCTCTCTACAAGGACGGCGCCACCTTTTTTCAGCCATCATCCGGGGCCACCGTCTACTTTCTGGACTGAGATGCCGGTTCAGAGGTCCTGTAAATCCATCCCGGAGCTGCCACATTTGCTCATTTTGGATTGGACCCACTTCCTGCCCTTACAGGAAGGGACACAAATAGCAATAAAACAAAGGCTATGGCCCCCCTCCCCCAATCTGTCCAACATGAGGCATGACATTTTTGGTTGGAGTTGCCCTCAAGTTCTTATTTTTTCTTCTGAAGGCGTTCCTTGCGTTGGGGTATCATTGACGCCATCCAGTTGGTTGTCATCTGCCTGGCCTCTTCCCAGCCGTACCTCGGCCTGTACCCCACGTCGCTCTGCAGCTTCCTGTAGGAGAACGTGAACGGGGTGTTCAGGAGAGTCAGCAGGTGTCTGGTGAACGGCGGCACGAACCTTACAAACGGCCGGAGGACAAAACTGACCACCTCCATCAAGGAAGCCAAGAGGTAGAGTATGGGGAGCGGCATGGCCAGCTGGCTCTCCACCCCCAGTCCCAGCTCTTTGCCCAGGGCATGGTTGAGGTCTGCGTAGCTCATGTGGGGGGTGTCGTCGGCAATGAAGTAGAAGTTCCCGGCTATCCTCTTGCTTCCCTCTGGGTCTCTCATGGCCCGAGCGGCCAGCAGATGGGCCCAGGCAACGTTCCCGACATACACCGGGTTGACCAAGGCCTCTTTCTTGGAGATCCTATGGAAGACATCGCCGTTCAGTATGGCTTGGTCAACATGAATTTGGAGGAACTGAGACTCCTCCCCATAGACGTATGTAGGGCGGAGTGAACATGTGGTCAGGGTTCCTCCATCTTGGAGCTCCTGGCCGTTAGCCTTCAAAACCTTCTGCTCCGCCAGGCTCTTGCTCTGCCCATAGCTGAAGCCCAGTTTGCTGTCATAGGCCGTCTCCTCCGTGCCGTTTATGATAGGGTCCCCTCGGGCATTTGGTCCCATCACCTCCATACTGCTGGTGTAGATGAAGTACTGCACATTGTTCTGTAGACACGCCTCCAACAGCTGCTCCGTCCCTGCAAAACCAAAAACGCAGAGCATTAAAAAAGGACAATTTCAGGCAACGGCGGGGGAACCGAGAAGCAAATGTCGAGATCCTGCAGGAACTTTTAAAAGGAAAGGAACATGGGAACTGCCGGTGCACTCATGGAAGGCTGCAGCGCACTCATGTAATCACCGAAGATCACAAACTGCGAGACGCAAACAACAATTGTGTGAAGGAAGTCTCCGCCCTGACAATTTCATACTGTACGCGGGAGACAGCAAGGACCTTGCAGGTCTGGGAATCCCTCGCCTGCATTATAGACAGGTCACTAAAAAAAAAGAAGAGGGGGGGGGGGGGGGGGGGCG